GGTTTTGGGTTTCAGGTTTAGGGGTGTAGGGTTTAGGGTTTGGAATTAAGGGCTTGGGGTGTAGGGTTAATTTTGCATTTAGGATTTAAGCTTCTGGGTTCGGGATGTAGGCTTTAAGGTTGATTGTGTAGAGTTAAGCGTTTAGAGTTCAAACTATTCGGGATTTATGGTTGAGGGCTTATTGTTTAGGGTTCGGAGTTTAGAGTTCAGCGCTTTTCATCCAAACAATACCGTACATTCCCCTAAGGGTTGCCATAGCAATACCAACTAGCAAATTACAAGGCTCAGCCCTAGACCCTAAACCCTAAACCCTCTACCTCTTGTGATCATGCCATGGGTCCTTCTCAGGATCCAAGAAGTGCGTTTCCCAGCTGGCTAAAGTCCCATTGGAGGCCACTTCAATGGTCACCCGAGCACAGTTCACATAGAAGTCGCGCGGGATCACGAACTTGGCCTGCCAATGGTAGGCAGAAGCCTTCCAGCCACTGCAGTCAAGATGGAAAGCCCTGAGTTCCGGTTTCACCTTTGCAGCTTCTTCCCCAGCAGCTGATGGAGAACAAACAAGTGTCTGCTTCATAGAGGATGCTACGCATCCTGTTTCCCAGATGCTATAGCCGGATAAGAGAGGCTCTTTAAAGCGTCCGGCCACTGGCTTGTAGGAGATGTCCCGGAGAATTTCAATGCTTGCTGGATTTTCGGTAGCAGTTGCCCCACCTGTGATACTCACACTGAAGCCTATACCAACCACGCACAGTATCCACACCATAGGCGTAATGGGGCCAGGACTGAATTCCTGGCAGACACTGGATTGGAGCCTAAAAGTGACCTTCTTCCACAGATGTAAGGTATGGAGCTGCGCTGCAACAGGCAAATAGCAGCAAAGTGTTCTGCAACATGGGAGCATCATTCACAACAGCTAAAGTGAAAACTCAATCGGAAAGAATGAAAATGAAATGACAACTGGGGTTTGTGGGAGGAAGTTCACCCATGAAGCCTTGCCATAGCGTTAGAGTTCCACAGTACCCAAGGACACTGTAAGCCGAAGCTACCTTGGGACAAAGCAGTTACAGTTCGACGAATGCATTCGGAGCTTCTAAGGCTACCCTCCCAAAAAGTAAGACGGAAACTCGTATGGCACAGCCGCTTTTGAGGGTTCCATGTCGAAATTTGGGTAGGGTATTCTGAGTGCTCGAGATGAAGCTATGACCTGTATGCGGCCTGAAGAGCCTTCATTTTAATTAATGCGGCATTGCTTCTGGAAAGCTCTACATCAACACTAAGCTTGAGACCATAGACCCTGACCCTCGCGTCCTAGGTCCCGACCCTACTCTGAATCCGGAATCCTACCCGGAGGTTACCATCCATGTCAGCTCTGTCCTAATATGTGCACCCTAAGCTCCAAATCTTAGCAATGAATCCTAAGTCCTACATGCACAACCATCCAGTGCAGGAAAACAGCTCATCGGCAAAGTGCTCCAGGAAGAAGTTTTTGAAATCCTGTCCGGTAGCTTTCAGAGGGTTTCTGGAATTACTAGCCTGGACGTTTAGCATGGAATTTTGCTTAGGGTTTGGGGCTGAGCTCTTTAGGGGCTTAGGATTTAGGAGGTTAGTCTAGGAATCACTGCTCACCGCCGGCCTTTGAGGGTGGCTCTAAACACTTTCGGGGTTCAGTTGCTCTGTTGCCTGCAGCGTGCTGCTCCCAATGCAACCGGAAGCTCTAAAACCTTAACTCCTGCGCCCTGATCTTCCACAGTCCTCAGCCCTCTCAAGTTAGTTGGGCAAAACTCTAAACTGCTGAAAGGGGGTTATAGCTCATGTATGACCCGTACAAAAGGAACAGTATTGCTTCAGGCTGCATGGGGACCTGTTGGTTCTAATGTTTGTTGAACTTCTGCAGTATGTCCTTCTCGTCCAGGCACCCGCCCGTGAATCGTTTGACGTGCGCACGGAGGTACGCCTCGAAACGATCCTGCTTTGGCTTCAGGTATCAACTACTACTGGCCGTTATGACTACAGCAAGTCTTACAGTATCCCGGCTATGAGACGGATGCTGCAACATGGGTGTGACAACGACGGTTACTTTGGATAGCATACCATCTCACGGTGCTCGGGGCATCCAAGAGCAAGACACAGAAGTGTTAAGCACACAGCTCGCAAGCTTTTTCAGAAGAGGCCCCTAAGCCCAACCTCCACACCGTGAACCCTAAACTCTAAGCTAGTGGGCAAGGCCACTCAAAGGCACCAAAGACTGCAAAGAAACATCATGTATGCCAGCTCTTGTTGATGCTACCACCAACTCCTCCATCTTTATGTTGGGCTGCTTATTGCCACTATGGCTACTGTACCGTCTACTGTGACTTCACTCAAAGATCAGGACTGTCATCAAGGCCCCTAGGCCTCAAATTTGAAACTCCAGGCTCCAAGCCCGCGCGAAAAACACCGCAAGATCAAACAAACAAGAAAAGGAAGTTGGTGTAGCTCGCATCCGAGGATGCCCAAAAAAGCGGGTCTGGTTTCCTATTAACATATGCCATTGCCCCACATTGAAGCCCTACCACCTCAATCGCAGTTACAACCAAAGAGGGAGAGAGAGAGAGAGAGAGAGACAGAGAGCGAACAGAACGAAAGAGAGAGAGAGAGAGCGAGAGAGAGAGAAGACAAAAAGAGAGAGAGAGAGAGAAAAGAAAAAAGACAGGAAGAGAGAGAGAGAGAGAGAGATATATATATAATATTTATATCTACAAATAACAACCTCAGGATTCACAGGAGCCCAATACAATCACGTCCCCTTTCACAAAAAAAATCTCGCATTTCTTGGGATACGGAAGTTGCAGGCGCCAGCCAGAGTTTCTACATCTACCTTGGGCCCAAAGGGTTGCCTACCCCCCCCAATGAAAACATGATAAGCATGACTGTCATCTGACTATGGTTTAGGGTTTAAGGTTCAGGGTTTAGGGTTTAGGGTTTAGAGTTTAGGGTTAGGTTCGTAATTTGGGGGGTGGGGGTCGGGTGTGTTAAAATTAGTGACCTCAAGACCAAGAGCCCTGACTCATGAAGCCCCAAAGCCTTGGTCATCTACAGAGCTAAGAACCTGGAATTGACTTCCCAGAATCGAGAGAATCAAATGGAAAATGACATGAAAACTCGGGCTCATCGGGGTTCTATAGAGGTTCACATAGGGATAGGACTGCCATCCCAGATGCATTAACCTTGACAGTGACAGGAAGAGCTGGTTGCTAGGTCTCAGGCCTTTGAAAACGCTGAGTGCAGTGGGTGTAAGGTTCGAGGTCTAAGTAAGCTTAGAATTATCTTGGGTGGAGCCCTGAAGTAGTGGTATAATGGAAATATAAGGGGATCCTGAGGATCCTTCCTCATACAATCACCGTTATCCCGAAGTTTTCCCTTACAATCACTATTACCTGGCCGGGGGTCCATCTAAGTATTCTCCCTTAACTCCGAAGCTCTAAGCCCGCAACCCCTGCACCAAACCTCTACAATCTAAACTTCAGACTTCAATTCTTTGAGCCTGATCGCTGCGTTTTATTGGTTGTTTTTCTACTCGGCAAAAAACTCAACATGGTAATTTCCAAAAATGAGGGGACCCCAATATGGAACCCAAAATGCTATAATCCTTATTATTGGGACCCCTAAAATGGTACCCCTAATTTTGGGAAACCCCAACTTTACATACTTCTCAAGGCATCTCGACACTCCAAGGTCTCCTGCCCTACGAGGCCCTCCAAGTGCAAGAGCATCAGCTGGCCTTTCCTCCGCGGATTGGCGGCTAAGGGGCAAAGGCTTAAGGCCTGAAAGTCTCCAAATGGGTTTAGGGGTTAGGGTTTAGGATTTAGGGTAGGGCTCAGCCCTAAAAACTAAACTCTAAACCGCTAGAATTGAGGGATTACGCTTCATGAGTCGGATTTCAAGGTTCACCGTTCCAGCCTACTGGTGATAGTCCCCCTTAAATAGATAGTAAAAAGGGTGTATGGGGATCTTAGGATAAGTGTTTCGTAATCGTGGGGGTTTAGGGGTATGCATTCAGTCCTCACGGTTCACCCGCTGCCACCATTAAAAAAGTTATTCTAATTGCTCTACTTGTTTTCATTTATTTTCATGCATTTGTCTTCATGTTTTAATATTGTACATTTAAAAAAGCCAACGTCCAATCCGTAAGCCTTAAGCCCTAACATGAAAAGTGAACAACTACCGCCCCTCCCCATGGCGTCAGAAAAGGACAAAACCCTTGCTAAATTCCAGAGGCTCTTGCTAAATTCCAGAACCCGCAAACTATTGACCACAAACCAAGCCTCAACGCATGCCGAAGCGGTACTCGTACTCTTGGCGTGAAGACTCAGGTCTCTAAACGTGGCAGTGGGAAATGATTAAGAATATGACACAGCGGGCTTGACCAAAGCCTTACCAGCGCCATGCAAATCTGTCAGTGCTTATGAGTTGCCTTGCAAGCTTTAGCCTAGAGCTTGGGGAACGCGGCTTCAAACTTGAAGTTTGGTCAGGGCTCACATAGGGGATTCCGCTGAAGGCGTCATCAGGGTCCACGCCAGTAAGCTTCGGACCTCTCCAACAGAATTCTTTTGGGTTCAGGGTTCACAGCGATTCCACTTCAATGCGGCGTGCCTCGTCTGGCTTGCCATAAGAGCATTTGCCAAAATACCAGCCCTCTGAAGGTTTTGCAGCATGAAACAGAAAACGTATAGCCAGTCTGGCACACAAGCATAAATACAGAAAGAAAGAGGGCCCAGATCCAAGAAATAACAAATTGTGTTGGGGAGGGTCGGGGGGTCGGTCAAACTAATGTTCCCCAAAAAGATCCCAAATATTAGTGGCCATAGTGATCGGGACCCAAAAGAGTGTAGCAATGGATCGCACATTCGCTACTAAATCCTAAGCCCTAAATCCGAACTCTACCAGCCTG